GAGAGAGAGAGAGAGAGAGAGAGAGAGAGAGAGAGAGAGAGAGAGAGAGAATGGAAGGGAGAGAGAGTGAGTGTGTGAGTGTGTGGTATTGAAACACAGCAAGCATATAAATATTAACATAAAATACTGAGAACTTTTGTTCTTTTGGTTTGGATTTAATAGGATTTCATTCTGCTGTGTTTGTAGTATTAAGATGTGTTACTCAGTTCAATAAGGAACTAGTGGAATGCCAGGATCAAAGTTATATGCTGACGACTTATTTCTGTGGTACAGTTAGATGAAAACAGGTAACAAAACAGACAGTAAAGAAGAGTTACGGTCCAGGTAAGAAGGTAAAGGGAAGGTAAAAGTTAAGCTCTCCCCCTTTGTCATAAACTTCAGAAATTAATTTATTCTACAAGTCATACAACTTTTTGTGAGGTAGTTTGGTAAACAGTCAACTATAAAACACTACAAATATACATTTAAAACAAGACTTTGAAAACATTCTCAGTCATTGTATTATGTTTCTAGTTGTATGAAAGAGATATGTGGTTTTCTAATTTCTACTTCTTTTATAACTTTCTCTTTATGTGCTTATCTGATTCATAAAGTTTCTATGTAGGGCTAAATCTCATCAATTGAGGTTATAAATGAGGATACAGAGTCAGGCATGGAAGCTGATTGAATCAATAAACTAAGCACAAAATTGTTGCCAATTGCTGTTTGTGTTGTCTATTCTAGGCACACAGCACAGGGAAAGAATTCAGTCTTGGATGAGAAGCAAGCAGTAAGTGGATCACATATCTTCAGTTGTTCGCCCAGATGCTACTACAGTAGCCCCAAAGATGGGCACTAAATAGTTCACGCCACTATCGGTTTCCTTTCAGGCAATTGTCTTTATTGTGTAGCCAAATTTAGTTCTTTTTCATCCAGACTGTTTTCTAACATCTATTATAATTAATGACTCTTATAGAAATACTGAACTATGAAATCAATGCTGTAAAATGAGCTACAGCCTTTTCATAGACATGAGGGAAAACTGGTTTCTTAGTACTGGTAAAGAAATATATTTCTTACGCGAGCCTCCTCTCTCCTTTCCTCTTATCTCTTCTCCTCTTATCTCCCCTTCTCCACTCCTCTCCTCTGCTCCTTTCCTCTCTCGTCTCTTCCCCTCCTTTCCCATTCCCTCCTCTCCTTTCTTCCTTAATCTTTGTGCTATTAGAAATAGAATCTCATTCCTCCTTAATGCTAAGTAAACATTCTATTACTGAGCTAAATCCTGACACTAACAATTGTGTTTTCTGTGCGGGACAAAGTTGGAAAATACCAGTAAGAGTAGTACCTGGGAGCTAACCAAAGAGGGCATGGCTGTATAGACTTGTCACATTGCAGGGTCCTTTACTGAACCACTATCAGCCTTAATTCTTTTTCATCTGGTCTGCTGCCTGGTAAATGGTTAAGTTGTAATGAAGATGAATGATCACCCAGAAAACAAGGTGTCCATCACGCCATCACATTTGCCAATGAAACTGAGATGTACTTCCTCAAGAGAGAAATTTAGGCATGAGGGTGTTTAAACCGCTTTGTCGTGTAAATAGAATTGATATGGATCTTTTGCCTGGGAAGGTATTTCTGACTTACAAGAACGGAAATTTTCCTTCTACTATGTTGTTATTCTTGCAGCTGCTTTATACAAAGGATTTCCAAGTCTCCTATAAATTAGCAAAGGACAAAGCAACAGTGTGAGAATCCTAATATACATTAATAATAAAATTCCTGGGCCACTGTACTATGGTGTGATGCTTTATTCCAAATGTGAGGCCGTAGGTATTTGATAAACATGACAGCGTCATAGAAACAGATAAAAAGCAAAGAGTGGAAAGAGAATTGAAATAGCAAACAACTATATTCATCCTACAAAAAAAATTTCACTTTTGATATATAGTAAAGGGAATTGTGGAACTTTTCATGAAAAATCAGGAGGAAAAAGCAATTGACTCAGTGAGTAGGGAGGAAGGGTCAGTAAAAAAAGACTTTATTATACTTATTGATTTCTGGGGGCTCAATGCAATACTATCTGTAAGGTCATCCTATTGCAGGGGCAACTAGAGCTCAATCAAAATAGTAAATCACACTAGGTAATTGTGAGTTTACACTTTTTCAATCAAAATGATAACAGAAACTGAAAAGTAATTCCCTAGTAACTCTTTGCCTGTTATCAAGGGGCTTACTGAACTAGAAAGCTTCATTCTTAACTGTCCACAGCTTAAAATCCAATTCACAGAGAGTTGGTCAACTACAACATAAACTAGGCATCATATTTACACAATAAAATTGCAGACTTGGGAAGGCTTCTCCATGTAAATATTGAGAACACTCAGACTCTATAAGATAGGCATAAATGATATTTGAGAAAACAAAATTCCAGTAGAGCTTTTATTGTTTATTAGAAAATCATGCAGGATGAAGAAAATATGAGATAATGGGCAGCAAAAACATATAATCTGCTAAAAAGAAACTGTGTGCTCAGCCTTTAAAAAGTGACATCATTTTGACGGCCTTTCAGAATGACATACTTCACAGGACTTTGGTGTGATCATGTTTTTCCAGTTAAAGTACCGTTTCTTGCAGGGGTGGTAGTGAGACAATGGTATAAATTGTTGATATATGCATTCAGATAATTTTAAAAAGCAGCCTGTAATAAAATTCATTTAGTGCCAGGCTGGTAACAGCAACTGAAACGAAGGCACTTTTTTTTTAATTTATTAAAAATTTTCACCTCCTCCCATCCCCCCATTTCCCTCCCACTTCCCCCACTCCTCCTCCCCGTCCCTCTCCAGTCCTAAGAGCAGTCAGGGTGCCCTGCCCTGTGGGCAGTCCAGGCCCTCCCCCTTCCATCCGGGTCTAGGAAGGTGTGCATCCAAACAGACTGGCTCCCCCGAAAGCAAGTACGTGCAGTAGAATCAAAACCCGGTGTCATTATCATTGGCTTCTCAGTCCACCAATGAAGGCACTTTTAAAATTATCCCCATAGGTCATGTATTCCTGGCAAAGGATGGGTGCCTGGTATCTCTTAGGTGTTTTTCAGTTCGTTCCTGATGTGCCCCTAATGATAATCCTGTTACGAGAACTGGAGACATTCCAAAAGTGTGAAAAGTGTGACTATGAGAGAGTGTAGGGCATTTTCATGGTAGCAAGTGTGAGTGCTGGAATCACACCCAGGCTCTCGACATTCAGTAAATTCTTTGGCTTTTCCAGTGTCAGCTTTTACTGTGACCTAATAGATTTGATTCAAATACATAGTTTGGAAGCACAACACTTCTCCAATTTTTCCCCCCTCGGAAAAGTTATATGAAGTAAAAATTGCCATTAAAAAAATCTCCTTTGCTGCTAGCACTTTTTAATGCAAATGAGTTTCAGCCAATTAGGAGTGCTCAGGACTGCTTCTGGAGGGCTGCAGGAAGCAAAGGTTAAGTTCTTGTTGGAAAGTAAGATCTTGAAAACAAGACAACCTCCTGGCAGTTTGGGTGCAATAGGAAGCCCACTGCTTGTGACATAGCTCTAGTGGTCTGAGAAACAGGAGCCCCGGAGGACCAGTTCTCTATGACTCCTTGAGGCCTGAGAAGTTCAGCTGATAATCTGCCCCTCTGCCCTTAAAGAGTTTGTGAAAGCCCTCAAGGCAATGAGTAGAAACTCTCCTTGTTAAAAATAGCATGGTGTTTTTA